TTATGTCAGGGCCTCCCCACCCTCCCAGCCAGGAATTCCTTCCCAATATCCCATCTATCCCTGCCCTCTGGCACTGGGAAGCCATTCCCTGTGTCCTGTCCCTCCATCCCTCATCCCAAATCCCTCTCCAGCTCTCCTGGAACCCCTTCAGACCCTGGAAGGGGCTCTGAGGTTTCCCTGGAACTTCCTCTTCTCCAGGTGAACCCCCCTCAGTTCTCCCAACCTGGAGAATCCCAAATCCCAGGATGGTTTGGGTTGTGGGCAGGGACACCTTCCACCTACACCAAGCTGCTCCAAACCCCCTTCCAACCTCAGCTCCTCCAAAATTCCCAAAGTTCACAAAGATATATCTTTAAAAACGTGGGAATTTTCACCAGATATATCTTTAAAAAAGTGGGAATTTTCCACCTGGAACTGGGCTCTTTTGAGTCACACCCAGAGCAGCTCCTGGGGTCAGAAAGGGATTTTTTTTAGAGAGCTTTCCCCAATTTGAGGTTTTATTTAATGGATGGGAATTCTGTGGCCCAAAATATCGTGTGGTTGTGATTTTTCCAGAGTTATTTTAGGCAGGAATATTCTGGAAAACACCCCCAGTGCCCCCTCTGAAATCCAGGCTGATCCCTTGCTGGGAAAGATGGAAGAGATGCCAGAGGTGTGATCCGAGGCAGAAATTGGAATTTAAGGGGCTTTAAACATCAAATAAAAGGCTCCCAAAAAACTCATTTTGTTCCTAATTTGGAAAATCAACCACTTGGCACCGAAGGGGGGGTAAAAAAAAAAAAGGTGATAATTCAAATTACACCCAAATCTCCCACTTAAAAGTTGAATTTCCTCAGGGAAAGGTCCTTTTACCTCTTTAACTGTCCCTGTTATCTCTTCAAGTTTCTTCTTAATCACTTCTGAGGTTTTCACTGTTTCGGATTCGATGGTTTTCTGAGGGGAAAAAAAAACAAAATGAGGACCAAAAACCCCTCAAAAGCAGTTTAGCACAGAACAAAATGCCATTAAAGCTGGAACTGAGGGCAAAAAAATTCCATTTTAGGAGCTCCTCCCTTGAGCCACCAGCTCAGTTTGGTAAAAAAATGTTTAGAGCTCTCAAACCCAACTGTTTAATGTCAAATTTCATGTCAAGTTTAATGGTAAATTTAATGTCACATTTAATGTCAAATTTAATGGTAAATTTAATGTC